GTGTCTTCTTCAAAAGAGGTGATGACAAAAGACAGGAGACCATAAATACACATCCGCGCAGTGCTCGCTGTACACTAAAACAAAACAGAGACAAGCGACAGTACGCGTAAAGGTCCATGTCACCATTGGAGAAAGATTTTTTTTAAGCCAAGCAATTTGATGGAACGCTGTTCTTACGTTATTTCCAGTGCTGCCGAGTGCCTGCAGCATGTTGGTGAGATACTGAAAGACTCCAAGCTGTAGTGTCGTGTTTCCTAGACGTCTGATCACAGAGCTCACTTCCTCCGGACGCAGTGTGTGTCGCAGCAGAACCCAGGCCAACAGAACTGGCCCGTGGTGAGAAATGTCACCAAATGTCAACAGCATCTGATCCACCTCCTGCACACACAACAGTTGATAAACAAAGCAAATCCTAAAAAACTAAATTGCTCATCCATTCAGAAAAGCTGTTATTTTGAACTTTCTATTCATCAAAGAAAAAAAAAATCAGTTTCCACAAAAATATGAAGCCTGGTGAAGGATCATGTGACAAATAAGACTGGAGTAACGATGCTAAAAAATCAGCTATGATCATATAAATGACATTTTAAATCATATTCGGATAGAAAACAGTTTTTTTTAATTGCAATAATACTTCACAATATTACTGTATTTCTGATCAAATAAATGCAACTTTGGCGAGTATAAGAGAGTGAATGGTAGTGTGTGTTCAGTACCTTGCAAATATCCTGTTGGTCATAAAACTGATGCTGTTCGGTTCGGTCTTCCAGAGCACATTTATGCAGAAAGTCGATATCCATCCCCTCCACAAGAATTAAAGAACTGAAATAGCTATTGACAGGATGACAATTCATATATTATAAAACACTGTTTGTGAGTGTATGAGAGGAAAAGGATCAGGTGACCGAGTGTTCTGACCCAATGCGTTCAACCAGCACATCCATGCTCTTGCCCACAAGGTGTCGATTGGTCTGCCGCTGTCCAAAGCCCTGCTCCTTAAACAGCCGTGTGAAGGTGGAAAGTTCATTGGGCGGCATCTCAAAGTATGCATAGTACAGGAACAAGATCTCCAGCAGCAGGGCCTGTTCCTTCAAACACTGCAAAAACCAGTGGGACACCTGCCTCTCCGTCTACAGAGATGAACAGATCCTGAGTCAAATTCTACAGGTGATGCTGCTCAAAACATAATCAGATTATCTTCTCACCATCAGGTTTCCATGTGTCTCCCATGTTGGAGCTTCTGATTTGGACAGCGACTCAAACTGCTGCCTGTAGTTGGACACCAGATCTTTCTCCAGTTTACTAACACAGTTGGAGTACTCTGCCTAAAGAAAGACAGAGAGAAAGGATGAATTAAATTAATTTCATCTTCTGACTTTCTAATAGAATAACTGATCTCTTTTATTTACACTGTATGGATGTCTCTCATCCTGGAAGTAGGTGAGGAGGTGGAGAACGCAGCGTAGAACGCACAGTCTCTCTTCATAATAGTAATCTGCTATCTGTACAACACAATTTCAACATCAGCGCCACAGTTCAATATATTTCAGAGTCTTTTTTAGTGTTGAAGCAATATTTAGTTTCAAACCTTCAGCAGCAGAGCTTGACTCTGTCTCTCATCCTGCAGCACAGCCTGATGGGAACAAAAGGAGGATTATTTATTTATTCACACAACTTGGCTCTCGTCATGTTCGTGCACACATCAGATGTACATGCGTGTGCCACATGAGGCCGACCTCACCTTGAGTGTGTTTCGTGTGGCCCTGTAGTCCTCCTGGAGGTAACACTGAAGAATCTGTACGCTTTGCTGTTCATCCAAACCCTGACATGAAACACACACACAAAAATATTTGTCCACTCCTGAAGTCTCAATCCAGTTAGACTTACTTAGACAGTATGTATAAATCAAATAAGAAAGAGTGCAATGTGTTCAAAAACCTAGTGAGACATCATCCTAGAAAGCATTTTTGGGTAAAAACATGCATATGATAAACAAAATCAATTGATGCACTTTAAGTTGTGGTCAAAGTAGGCAGCTCACTAGGTTTTAAAGGTGACATATTATGCCCCTATTTACAATATGTAATACAAGTCTCTGGTGTCCCCAGAATGTGTCTGTGAAGTTTCAGCTCAAAATACTCCACAGATCATGTATTATATAATTATTATAAAATGCCTATTTTGAGTGGAAGCAGAAACAAGCTGTTTGTAGGGCCTGTCTCTTTAAATGCAAATGAGCTGCTGCTCCCCGCCCCTTTTTCCAGAATAGAGCTGCGCCTTTACAGCTCGTATCTGCTAAAAAACATCTGTTTTGGTTCTGATTATCATGTTTATCGCGCTGAAATCATGCGTTTTAAACCATATGAGTTTAAACTTCAGATATAAGGTTTTCTGAGAGCACACATCCGAAGCACACGCACAGAAAGCGGCTGTCACAGCATGTGAGTATTAAACTAAGTTCTCATTCACACACAAGTTTACGTTAAAAACACACATGAGTTACAAAAACAGTCGGTTATGTCTGTGAAGGTAAACTAAAGGTTTATGTTTATTTTAGATCTGTGTGGCAGCAGCCTAAATAAATCAATCTATGCACTGCTCTGTTGTCTCCTCTGAGGCTGGGACTCTAAACAGTGTTCTGTGCTCGTCTGTGCAGCCAAACACAGAACAGTAAGCATGTTTTGCTCAAATTTTCACCATGGCATTAGAACTGGTACACCGTTGTCGCTTGCGAAATCAAAATGACGGTGCCTTGAGTGGAAGTTTACAGTTTAAGGGGCGGTAATATTACAATGAGATCCCTTTGCCACGTCACCAAGAGAGCGAAATCAGACGCGCTTGTTTTCTCAGAGGTTTGCAGAAAAAGGCTTCACAAAACAAAGTTACTGGGTTAATCTTTTTCACGTTTGCTTGGTTGGTAGATGCACCGGGGACCTGATTATAGCACTTACAACCTGGAAAAGTCAGATTTTCATGATATGTCACCTTTAAAATACAGCCAACATGCCCAGACACTCACCAGCAGTTTGCTGATCCTGAGTCCGAAATCTTTGAGAGCTTGTGGTGTGTCTTTATCTGCTTTCAGCTTGTCTGCGGCCGATGTGCTGCACATAACATTTCATCCCTTACATATCACACTACATATTCAACAACGGTAAGAAGACTAATTTCATGAGGTATGTTTACATGCCCTAATTTCAGACTTATTTTACTATCACTGATAAACTATTATAGTTTTTGTTCATTTTGAATTAAAAATCATTTTAATTTTAGTTTAATTTAGTACTTCATCTTAAACTAAATGAGAAATGCTGCCTTGGCAAGTAGCTTATATATATATATATATATACATTTTTCTTTGCAATGAAAATGTTTTTTATGGTTTTAGTTATTCGAGAGAATCCAATCAGATTTCAGATTCTGAAAGGTCTGTTTAAATTTGCATATTTATTTAGATGCACATTATATGTATTCTGAACTAAACTGGATGTGCTCAACGGGTGTACCATTGAGTATATATCATCAAATAACATTTCCCTAGCTTGATAAAGCCAAGCTGTGTTGAGGTTATTTATTTTTACATCTTACATGTTTTTACATTTTTAAATGTTGTGTTACCTGGGTGGTTTATAGAAGGACAGACCCTGCAGAAGTCTCTCCCAGTTCCGATCCAATTCAGCCTCAATTTGGGCCTGTCGAATCACAAGAAAATCACAGGTCACAAATGATGGAGACAGGAACTCACTGAGATACACTGTAGAAGTATACCTCATCAGATGAGTACAGCTTAAGAATAAAACAGCTTTATTAAAAGCGTTTGCTCATGGAATTCTCTCATTTTTGTGCATACACAGATGTTCAATTAAATCTGGGTACTTGTGCTGTTATTGAAAAACAACAGACATGATTGGTTTGAGTACTAACCGGTTCTCGAAGTGCAGATCTGCCCAGCAAGATAGTCCATAACTCTCGGCTGCTCCTAAAAAAAAGTTTTTAAATGTGTCATTATTATTAATTAACTTTTTTTGTTTGTTTGTTTGCTTATGCTATGCAATATGACAGAGACGCTTCCAGAACTGATCAAATAAAGCCATATGTTGTGTTTATAAGTCCATCCATACACTATTTACAAAGGTAGTTCACACTTTTTTTTTTTGGTCACATAATTAGTTTCAAATTTACATATTCACGACATAACGGTTCACACTTTCATTTCATTTTTAACACACAAAAATAGTTTTAGAACAATTATAACTCGGGACAGCACAATTACTTATTTTTATAAATTGTATAAACTGTGTACACCATATATAATAATAACAATAAATAGCCTGTATAGAAATATAATTAGAGTGTACACATATACATACACAATGAAACTCATTCATTACTTCAAACTCCTACAACTCGTTCTCACCAAGACAGTCAAAACAAGAGGAACATTTTCATAATTAATCAAGGTTAATATGCTCATTTCATATAATGTTTAAGAAGTTGACGGTTGTTTAAAAGCGGTTATAAACTGTAAAATTAACATTTGAATTGCAGTCGCGCGGGTCGGTTCTGCACGCGACCGACTCGTGCGGCCGTAAAACGTCCAACACAGACATTTCCAAGTCATACCACCCACACATATCATGGCTAAATACCTGGTATAAAATATCTACACATTATCCAACTACAAATTTCAGTGTCGCTCTTTGAGAACAACCTTTGTAAGTTTCTCTTTCTTCCATTTTACCTGACACACATCTCCGAGTCCGCCATCTTCACCCGGATCACGTGACTAACACAAACCTAGCGCTCTCCTATCACATGACTTAATGAAATCATAAAATACATGTAGATTCATAAAATACGTATTTGAATACATATTCATATTTAAAATTGAAATATTAAAATGTTATTATAATAAATAAAAAAATCTTAACTAAAATAACTTTGTTTTGACGTTAGCCACGTGATTATTCTGACACCACGTGACCCGGTTGTCACAACATGGCCGCTCCCACCTTCAGTCAGTGAGCACCGAGCAGCTGATCGCACAAATCACGAGTCACGGCAAAACATTGGGAATATTCTTTTGTTCGAGAGCCCAGCGTTAATTCGCAGAAAGAAAGGGTAAGATGAACCGTTATTTGGTGTAATTTAATATTTCTGCGTTTGCTTACTGTGCAGGGTGTTTAATGATCAGCTGGTGTTGCAGTGAATGAACTCACAACCACATAAAACAAAAGCATTGCGTTTGAATTTGTATTATAATTTAATGTTAAGACTGACAATTACTTCAAATATATGTACCACTTGTAAATAATTCCGGTGTGTGTAATAGAGACGAGCAATCCTTTCTAATATAATATTTTATGTCTAATAATACATTTATGTTATTTACACAATTATATAATTTCCATTTAAATAAGTAATATAAATGCATTTTATGAATACCCAGAAATTGTATTGAATAAGTTTGTGTTAAAAATAATATTTTATGTCTAATAATATAATATTGATCTGATAATATAATATTTTATGTCTAATAATACATTTATGTTCTTTACACAATTATATAATTTGTATTAAAATAACTCATATAAATGCATTTTATGAATACCCAGAAAATGTATTGAATAAGGTTGTGTTAAAAATAATAATTTCTAATATAATATAATACAAAAGTTATAATATAACTATTTTCGGAGTACTTATAAGATATATTTTATTTGCAGATTTCATCTGATTAATCAGTTATTACATTATTTAAATACATTTTTTCAGAATACTTATAAAATATTTATATTATATACACATTTATGTTATTGTTTTGATACATTATTTCTGGGTGCTTATAAAACCCGAATATTTTAAACACTAATATTAGTGATACAGGCCAGGTTTTCTCTATTATTCGTATATATATATATATTATTAATCACTGTGATGCCAGAGCATCCAGCCTTTAAAAGCAGATCGTTTTACTTTCGCTGACAAAGTGACACTGTCTTTTCATAATTTACCATGTTTAGAGATCGCTGGTGTTGACTGTTCAACAGTGCCAAAGTTCACCGTGTCTAGAGTTCAAACGCAGTTGAGAAATTTGACATCCTTCCTTAGTTTCACAGTGAGAGAACAGAAGCTCTGTCTCAAAACCTACTTAGCTCCCTATGAAGCATTTTTAGGGATGTTTGAAAATGTCTATTGTGCCAAAAATGCTAGGTTTTGAGACACAGCCTGTCTGTAGGTGTCATCACATTGAACATCACATTAACATTGAGTAAATTCATTTCTTTCTTTCAGGATTTTTACCATGATATTGAGTGATGACTTGAGAAAAAAGAACTGGGGCTTGTACCATGGTACAGTTTTAGTATCAGATAATTGCATAGTGTTATCATATATGATATTTACATCCATATGCTCCAAGGTACTTAAAATAGTACTATGAAATTGCCACATTATATTTGCCAAAAAAGAATAATATTGCTAAAGTACATATTCATAATAATCAAGTACCATGTTGAAAAAGTTTTTGCTTATTTTAAAGGAGACATATTATGCCCCTTTTTACAATATTTAATATAAGTCTCTGGTGTCCCCAGAATGTGTCTGTGTAGTTTCAGCTCAAAATACCTCACAGATCATTTATTATATCAATTTGAAAATGCCTATTTTGAGTGGAAGCAGAAACATGCTGTTTTTCGGGCCTGTCTCTTTAAATGCAAATGAGCTGCTGCTCCCCGCCCCTTTTTCCAGAATAGAGCTGCATCATTACAGCTCGGACCTGCTAAAAACATCTGTTTTGGTTCTGATTATCATGTTTATCGCGCTGAAATCATGCATTTTAAACCGTATGAGTTTAAACTTCTGGTTTAATGAAGTTACTGGTTTAATCTTTTTCACGTTTCCTTGGTTGGTAGATGCACCGGGGACCTGATTATAGCACTTAAAACCTGGAAAAATCAGATTTTCATGATATGTCACCTTTAAGTTTTTGTTTGGAGAAAATTCTAAGTTAGAGAAAATATTTTATTATTATTCAATTTTGTTTACTTTAGATTATTATGTGTTTTTGTGTGGACAAAAATTCAGAAAGTAAAAGAAAATATTTTATTATAACATTTTGTTTGTTTTAGTTTATAATGTGTTTTTGTTTGGAGAACAATGCTAAAAGTGAGAGAAAATATTACATTATTATTATTATTATTTAAATATGTTTATTTTTACAGTTTTATGGTTTGTGTCTGATGATATTTTTGTCTTTTCCAAGGTCTATTTTGCCGTGTGCAGGAGGGCGAGAAGTGGACGATGCTTGTGTGTTCACCGGGAACTTTCTGACAGACTACCATATTTAAAGTCTCTCATTCCTGGAAACCTTTGTCACACATACATACATACGCGATCATGCAGCTGGATCCCGTGCTGGTTGAATCCGCCGTGGTGTTCGGCATGGTGATCTGCGTTCACTATGCCGTGTGGAACCAGCTGTCCTGGTGTTGCATCGCTCTGGCCGTCCAGGCTTTTTACGTGCAGCACAAATGGGATCGGCTCATTCGGACCGGCGCCGCCGTGTTCCAGTTCCGGCCTTCGGCCAACAGTGGCGTGTTACCGGCCAGCATGGTGCTGCCTCTGCTGGGACTGGCTTTGAGGGGACACTGCATCGCTGTGGGGAACATTTACATGGAGCGATTCGCAATGGTCATAACAGTGATCGGTATGATGTTGGCGCTGTTCCTATCGCTCATCGCGTTGGGAATCACACGCCCGGTGCCCACAAACACCTGCGTTATAGCCGGCATCGCTGGCAGCGCCATTCTGTACACAGTCAAGCAAACGCTAACAGTCTCCGAGGTGATTGAAGTCTTGGAGGTGTTGCTTATTTTTGTGTATTTAAGCTTAATCCTCTTGTACCTCCTCCCACGCTGCTTCACTCCCGGCGAGGCCCTCCTCATCCTCGGTGGGATCAGTTTCATCATCAACCAGCTCATCAAGCGCTCTCTGGCCTCGTCCGGGAACGCGAACGCCGACCCGCTCACGTATTTCCTCCCGGTCGCCCTGTTAGGCTTAGTGCTGCTGGGAATCTTCTTCGCCGTGCTTTTCGTATTCATGGAATCGGAAACCTGGTCAGCGTCGCTTTTCTTCCACACCATGACGGCCGTTTTGGGATTGGGCCTATTGGTTCCTTGGCTTACCCTGCTCACGCAGCATCACCCCATCACCTGGTTGATGCATTTCATCACCGAAACCAACACTCGCCTTTGGCTGATCGGATTCTGGGCTGCTTTGTTGCTTCTAGCAGTTGTCGTTGTGATGCATCAAAATAGTCATCGCTCAGCCGGAAGCAAGAAGCACCAAGCATCGACGTCCGTGCGAAAGTACTTCCACCTCCTAACCGTGCTAACCTTCGCACCCGGACTCGCTCTAGACCGTCCTCTTCTTCAGCTAGCCTCGGTCGTATGCCTCTCAGCGTTTTTGTTCCTCGAATTCGTCCGCTATTTCCGCATCCGACCACTCGGGCCACCCTTGAGACACCTTCTTACTTTATTCCTGGATGAGAGAGACTCAGGACCGCTTATTCTCACCCACATCTACCTTCTCCTCGGCGTCGCCCTTCCAGTCTGGCTCACACCCGCATCCTGCACCCCTAAAGAAGGCCTAGGGGGCGCCGGTGGCCTGGTGCCCTATGCCGGTGTGTTGGCAGTAGGGGTCGGTGACACCGTGGCATCCGTTTTCGGCAGCGCAGTCGGCGAGGTCCGCTGGCCAGGCACTAAGAAAACCTTTGAGGGCACAGCGACCTCCGTGTTCGCTCAGATCATCGCCGTGGTGGTTTTCCTCATCGCCGACAGCAGTATAAACCTGAACGCCAGCTACTCGTGGGTCGTGGGCTCAATCACAATGGTGGCCATGCTGGAGGCGTATACTTCGCAGATAGACAACCTGCTGCTCCCTCTGTACCTCTACATCCTCCTGCTGCTATGAGATCAGACCCATCCAGACAGATGATACCATTATGCCAATGCACAGATATTAACAGCATTAAATTCATATGGTACAGCCCTAGTATTGTGAGTTTGGAAAGCAAAATGCAATAATGAAACATCATTAGAGTGTTTATGCTTGTACAGTGAATAGAAATGCACTGAAATGTATTCAAGAATAAACCGTTTCTTATAGTATTAGAGTAAAACAAACTAGAAAACTACTTGATATTGTAATCGACATACAAAATGGCACAAAACAAATGTTTGAAGGTGAAATGTGTATTTTTTGCACCACTAGTTGATTCGCACATGACAACTTTATTTGAAAACAGAGTTTGGTGCCGTTGTTGGCAGCTTTAAAGGGATATTCCATCCAAAAAATGATAATTTACTCAGCCTCATGTCGTTCCAAACCCATATGCATTTCTTTCTTCAGCCAAACACAGAACATAGAACACAGGTTTCAGATCCCATTGACTTCCATAGTATTTATTTTCCTTACTATGGAAGTCAATGGGAGCCAGAACGGAATCCTTTAAGGATTCTTCTTTTAAATTTTCAAGGTTTACAGGCGATAATTATGTTGTTTTGAGCGTTTATTTTTTTGTGCCCTCAAAGAAAGCTCTGAAGTCTTGAGACGATGTTAATATTTCATTCGCTCAAATCCTGTCACTCCAGTATAAATGACAGGGATTGAGTTGCACATTATTAAAAAAAAGAAATGGAAAACGTAATGCCCTTTAACAATGTCTGCACTTGCTGATAAACACGCAAACACACATCTTGGATGCAAAAACTGAAGGAAGGGCACAGTCTACAGTGTGTATTTTATTTAAATGAATCTCATGAAAAAATGTCTCTTTATTTTTTATATCTTCTGTAAAGCTGCTTTCCAACAAAATGTCTTGTAAAAATGCTATACAAATTGAAACTCAATTTGAAATTTTCAGTTTTTTTTGGAAAAAATAAAATTACTGTAATGCAATATATAATACTTTAAATATTACATTATTATAACTATTAATATTTTAAATTATTAAATATTTTATAGTTTAACATAGACTACCATTATGTATATATACTTGGTAAATTTAATACTATTATAATATTTAATTAAACATTTAATAATATTTAAAACCATGTAAATTTTTTGCATTACTATAATTACCCTTGACATGTTTTATCAGATTCACCCATTTTATGTAATTGTAATTGATCCTTTCCATCCTTCATTACAGCATATATGCATCACTTGAGCCATCGAAGAACACCGTTGTTTTTCTGTTGTATAACAAAAATACTCAAATATAATTTTGATGCTATGAATAGGATCTGGCTTTTTGTCTGATGCAATACGAAGGACTGGTAGCATAGTTTGTCGCCTTAAAAAGTGTTTTGTATTCTGAATATTTCAACGCTATCAGTGGTTTGTCTGCATGGGTCTGTATGTAGGAGGCAGTAGATATTAATGTACAGATCACTATCCTGTAAATGCATGTATGCAATTCAGCTGTTTTGCGATGCAATACGAAGGACTGGTAGCATAGTTTGTCGCCTTAAAAAGTGTTTTGTATTCTGAATATCTCAACGCTATCAGTGGTTTGTCTGCATGGGTCTGTATGTAGGAGGCAGTAGATATTAATGTACAGATCACTATCCTGTAAATGCATGTATGCAATTCAGCTGTTTTGTCTTTACTCTGATAAAGATTGCGTAAATTATGTTTATACTTTAATTTATTCATGATATTTGACTGAGGCTTATTTTTGTTGCTATTGGCGTTTTGTGTCGAGTACATTACATTGACGGTTGTCATGGGAACTGTGGTCAATCACCTGTTCGGTTTGCAGTGCATTCTGGGACATTTAAAATTGACACTCGACATTTGCATGACACTCTTGTTTAAGTGTAAACTAGTTTTTAAACTACCCGGCAATTGTAATCAAATGTGTTACTTTATGGTCCATATTTTGACATTGGAATATGACGAATATTGTTGGATTTTTTTATTTTGTAAATTATAATTTGAATGGTTTGTGTATTTACAGAAAACACTTTTTGTTCAAATAATTGCTTTTTCTTCATGTCAAAAGACCAGTTTTTACAACACAAGTGACCCAGCCTGAAACAATAATATATAAATAACTTTCAGACTATTGTGGAAAAAAATTAGTTGGAACTTTTTCTATGTTGAATATCATGTTTTGTTTTTGCTATCTTTATTGAAGTTGTTTTTTCAGCAATGTCTGTAAATATGATTTTTCAGATTTTCCCGTCTGATTGGTTGACATGAGAACTGCAGTTTGGTCATTTATTCTCTTCCTCTGGAAATCCAGATTATTCTTATTATCAAACCTTCATACCTTTTCTATATTGTATTGATTTTGTTGGGTACTCAAGAGAATGTTGCGTTAAAGGAAATAAACTGAATTTCTAATAAAATTGAATGTTTTCAAAAGGTCAGAAGTCAGATTATAAATAATAAACATTCTTTGGTTAAAAAAACTAGCCTTTTATTAAAACACTGTTGTGGTAAAATATTCAGATGATTCAAAATGATTCACATGGTAAGAAAGATGTTTTTGGTCCATTTACACTCTTTGGTTAAAAAAACTAGCCTTTTATTAAAACACTGTTGTGGTTGTAGATAAAATATTCAGATGATTCAAAATGATTCACATGGTAAGAAAGATGTTTTTGGTCCATTTACAAAACTTCATATTTAAATGTGTGATTGTTGGTCCAGACATCAAAAAGGCTCATAGTCACATGACTGTCCTGATATCTCTTCAGCATCATTGGTAACACGTGTTATCAGGCCTGTTTTAGTGTTATTTCTGTCTTTAGGTGTAGAGGGACGGGAAGGGCAGCTCTTCTGTTGGTTGTAGCCTGAGACACAAAAACAGATTCACTTTACAAGCTAGGCTTTCTCCGATGCTTCCTAACGCATGTCCTGCATTACCCAGCATGCACTGTTCTTACCAGTTCTCAGGACTCCAAATAGTGTTTTGAGACTCCATAATGTGAAAGGTGTAAACGTGGCGTGAGGCGTCAGATGTGTTTGCAGCACTGCGGTGGACGACTTGACCGTGAATCAGAACTGCTCCACCTACAGTACCACAAACATTCGACAAAAGTGTAATAATACAATAATAAAATATATATACACAATTGTTTAAGTTTTGTTACCATAGTTTGATTTAGTAAAAAAAGCAAGGATGCATTAAACTGATAAAAAGTGACAGTACATTTATAATGTTGCAAAATATTTCTGTTTCAAATAAATGCTGTTCTTTTGAACTTTCTATTCATCAATTAATCTTTTCATAAATACTTGAAGCAGCACAACGGTTTTCAACATTGATAATAATCAGAAATGTTTCTTGAGCATCAGCTCAGCATATTATACTGATTTCTGAAGATCATGTGACACTGAAGACTGGCGTAATGATGCTGGAAATACAGCTTTGATCACAGAAATAACTGCAGGTAATGTTTCTTGTAACTGCTGATCAGTCCTGCACAACGGCTCGCTGGAATTTTAGCCCATTAAAATGTGATGTTGGTGGGTTTCCTCCTATGAACTTCCTTTAGGACCTTCCACAAAATTTCATTTGTCATCTTGGCCGGTCCAAAACATTAACTTTGTTCATCTTTAACCATTCTTTGGTATAATGATGACTTGTGTGCTTGGGCACGTTGTCTTGTCGCACTTTCTCTCGAGATTCAGTTCTCGGACAGATGTCCTTTAGAATTTGCTGGTATAATTCAAGCCATCCTGGCCCAGATGCAGCAAAACAGGTGTTCTTTTCTCCAAACATAACGCTTCTCATTTAAACCAAAAAGTTCTATTTTGGTCTCATCATCTGTTTGGTCTCATCTGTCCACAAAACCTTCTCCAGTAGCCAGAAAGGTTTTTTGGAGAGCAGTGGCTTTCTCCTTGCAACTCTTTCATGCACACCATGGTTGTTCAGTGTTCTCCTGATGATGGGCTCATGAACATTAACATTAGCCAATGTGAGAAAGGCCTTTAGCTGCTTAGAAGCTTCCCTGAAGTCCTTTGCAACTTCACAGACTATTACAAGTCTTGCTTTTGGAGTGATCTTTGTTGTTTGGCCACTCCTGGGGAGGGTAAGGGTCTTGAATTTCCTCCATTTGGACACAACACCTGTCTGACTGTGGATTTGAGGAGTCCAAACTCTTTAGAGATGGTTTTGTAACCTTTTCCAGCCTGATGAGCAACAGCAACTCTTTTTCTGAGGTCCTCAGAGATCTCCTTTGTTTGTGCCATGATACACTTCCACAAACATGATCAAACTTTGATAGACCCCTGTTCTTTAAATAAAACAGAGCACGCACTGACACCTGATAGTCATCTCACTGATCAAAAACACCTCTGAACAGATGGACTCTAACTTCACCTTCAAATTAACTGCTGATCCTAGAGATTCGCATACTTTTGCCACTCACAGATATGTAATATTGGATCATTTTTCTGAATAAATAAATGACAAAGTAAATATTTTCAACTAATTTGTTTGATTGGGTTATGTGCTTTTGTCATTTTTAAATATTTTTATATAACTATTTAAATAGCTTCAATTATTTTATATTTCCGTTCTAGTTATATATATATATATATATATATATACACACACATATATATATACATACACATATACACACATATTTATAAACATATATACACATACACATACATATATATACACATATACATATATATACACACATATACACATATACATACACACATATACACATATATATACACACATACACACACAAACTAATTCAAAATATTAATACTAAATACACATATACATTACATTAATACTACATATACAGATATGTACTTATATAGACAGACTAATATTACTAAAATATTCCTCTAATAGTATTTTACTAATGTTAGGCAGCTCATCTTATTTCTGGTACAAGTAGTTTCACACAGTGGACTGCAAAAAACAAAAAACTAACTCAACACAAAGAGACTTCTTCGACTCACCTTTTTTAACAGGAGCGGGAACGAAGAGCTTGTCGTCGTAATCCTTCTCTCGGCCGATGAAATCAGTCAGAGGAAACGTGCCTTTAGGTGTCCGCACCATTCGTCTGGTAATCCCATCTAACACACACACGAAAAGAGCCACACAAAACACATTTTCAATGCAAAATACAGCTTCACTCAAACAGCATGCATGCACAAATGCCATAAAAGGCCATGAATCTGCCTAACTGTTGTGTGATCCTGGTATGAACCACAGACAGCCGTTCTCCAGCGCAGCGTCTTCCAGAGCAAGCCACACGCCCATCACTCTTCCCAGAGGCTGCGTGGAAAGGAAGGTGGCATCTTGGTGAGGGGTCACTGAAGTCAAAGATCAAAGGTCATTTGTACTGGAGGTTTTGTACTGCATTCCTATTGGTTAAAGACGGGGAGGGTCTTACCTTCTCCACCAATCCCTGGTTGCTGTTGACAGATCAGTCACAGATAAGGCGAGTAATGAAATAATTACCTTTGCAATGTGTGTCATCATCATTATATAAGCATGCAGGACATATGAACTGTACCTTAAAGATGTACATACTCTGCAGAATCACTGGATATATCAGGCCGAGTTTCTTAACCAGGTTCTGCAGATAGGAAACAAATTGAAGTGTCTTAAAATTGGCATAATGAAAACAGTGAAGTATATTTGGCATGATTTTTTTCTTTCTGAGATCAAGATGGTTAAACAGTGGATTGCTAGTCTTATCTTGAAATCAGACTGGTCTATGTCAGTATTATTTATATACTGTCATAGTACTAATAATACTTATTAATAAAAAAAAAAGTTTTAATAATTTATATATATATATATATATATATATATATTCATTTTTGTTTAGGTTTTCATAAGTTTTTATGTGCTTTTGTCATTTTTATTACTTTTTTTATTTTTATATATGCTTTAATAAATTTTTATTTCAGGTATAGTTTTAGTATTAATATTTTGAATCCTTTTTTTATTTTTTATATTTTCAGTTTTCATTTTAGTAATTTTGTTTTGTGCTTTTGTCATTTTTATTGTTTTTTTATATTTCTATATAGATTTAATTAATTTTTAATAAATGTTATTACTTCAACTTATTTTCGTTTAAGTTTTTTAAACTAAAATCTAAAAAGTTAAAATCTAACGTTTATATTTCATTTCATTTCAGCTTTATTTCAAATACAGAAATGTCTTTTAATAGTTTTAGTTTACAATAGCAACACTGGTCTGGGTGTTCTGGTTTGAAAGTTTCTCATAAATCTTCCAATTAAATCAAATGAGTTTTTGAAACAAGCGTTTACAAGAAGACCACAGTTTTCATTTGTTTACATGGAGGTTTGGTCATTACTTGAACTTTGGGTGAGTGGGTGACCGCTTTAAACAGCGGCTCATAAGCGTGGAGAGCTGTGGGAAAGATAAGACACAAATACTTAAGAGCAAAAGAATAATATATGATGTATGATAGATAATAGGTTATGTTTAAATATCACTGAATTATATGAAGAGCTATTTTCTTCAATACCCACCATGTCCGATTTTATTCAAGGAATGTTCTTTTGGCACGATGAACTCTCCTGAAAACGCATTATTTGATGAATTTGCTGTCTTTTTCTATATCTCAACATGACAAACAAAGCAACTAAACTCCAAACCTTTATCATCAAACACTCCTTTCTCAAAGAAGAAACGGATCTTGTCTCCACTTGTGATGAAATAGTCTGCGTTTCCCTGGATCAACACCAAATATGAACATGATTTGACTGTTCTTCTCACCACTTCTGAATGTACATGGATTTACAAGGGACATTTTTCCAGTTACGACAGGGTTTGTAACTACATTTACCTGCATCTTTACCCAGAAACATTTGGTTGCATGTGGACAGTAAAGCATAGAAGAACATTTATGATGACACTGCTGTAAATGCTTGCTGGCGATGCATTCTGGGTATTCGTCTGGAAGAAGTTTACCTGTTTTTTAAGCTGCTCGTCGTGGTCAGTGGAGAACTGTGTCCTGCAGTGTTCAGGAACGTCCATCCGCTCAATAATCTCACTCATACGGTCCCGTAAAGCATCACACTCCTCTGGGGACAGAAGGCCATCCAGCACCAGATAGCCCTCATCCTGGTACTGCACAACAAAAACATCACAACATCATTCGCTCTTCCTGACATCACAAAAAGTACCATTATTGCACATGTACCATGGTAGTGGCATGGTATTCTTTGAAGTACTTTGTAAATTCCATGTGATACCAGATTCACGTTATGTTTAAAAGTACTGTGGTATTTCCATCCTTGTCCCAGACAGCATCTGGAAAGCATCTGCTGTGTACAAACATCTAGACATCTATAGGTCAGCTTTACATACATTCTAAATTAGAAACATCTTAAAGACATCTTCTACACGTCTATTTGACATCTTAATAGGATTTTGCAGATAAGCAAACACTCTGTGATGGACGTCTGTGATGTACGTGTGCTATCAGATATCTATCTAATAAAAACGTAAGGTGTTTCGGGCAGTGTTGCCAACTAATTTTCAGGGGAAGTTGCTAAAGCAAGGTCGATTTGTTGCTAAAAGTTGCTAAATGACGTTGTGATGTGATTGCGCGATGACGTCATTATGTAATCACGATGCAAAATTGTGTCACTACATCAAATCTCAGCAAAAATATATTTTATATGTTCATTTAGATTTGTTCGTTAAATAATATAAATGCATAATACAATGTTAAAATATAAATAACTATTTTTATATACAACATTGAACACTTTTGAATGATTCGTTTTTTTATTAGCTAGTAAACTAGTAAAACTACACATTCTGAACAATTATAGTTTTAAGCAGTGTATTAGTAGTCAGTATGCTACACTCTAAGAAAATAAATCACAGGTTTTTACCTGCATTTTAAATTACGCAGTGTATTTTGTGTTTTCGGGTTACAGGGTTACAACGGATAATGGATAATGTCCTGGAAAATTACTAGTACCTTAGCTATTTTTCTAGATCTATATTTTTCTTACAGTGTACTAACTGATCAACAATCACATGTACAAGCTACTAACAAGTGTATCATAAATGAACAATTATTAAATTATTATTGTTATTATCAAATTGAACAACTGCAAATAGCAATAACTTAATTCATGTGATGTATGTACTTCTAGGCATCTTTGGTTTTCTCTTTTTGTGAAATTTAGATGGAAAATGTGTGCCTCTTTATTGTTTGAGCCACTTATCAAAAGTTGCTAAAAGTAGGCAAATAAAAATTAAAAATAGCTACAGTTGTTGCTAGGTGCTTTTGGAAGAAAAAGTTGCTAGGGTAGTCTGAAAAGTTGCTAAATTTAGCAACAAAAATTGCAACACTGGTTTCGGGGAGAAATTTCATAAAAATTGGTGTAATTGCGAATAGGTTGGAGCAAAATACATATCCACTAACTTATGTTTTGCTGTCACATGATCGGTGATTCAGGAAAATGACTAATGTTACATAGAGCACCAGTTTTTTATTTATTTATTTACTTACTTCCTTAAAAAGAAGTGGGAGCGTTCAAATCTGTTAATTTGAATTATTAGCAACACTGGTTTCGGGGAGAAATTTCATAAAAATTGGTGTAATTGCGAATAGGTTGGAGCAAAATACATATCCACTAACTTATGTTTTGCTGTCACATGATCGGTGATTCAGGAAAATGACTAATGTTACATAGAGCACCAGTTTTTTATTTATTTATTTATTTACTTACTTCCTTAAAAAGAAGTGGGAGCGTTCAAATCTGTTAATTTGAATTATTAGTTCCTGATATACACATTTTAAATCCGCCCCATTAATCTTTACAAATTGTAGACTAAAATGCATTATCCAAGTGATCAAAAAAAGACTGTGATTAGTCCTTCCTTAACAGCGCTGAGAAAAGTAACAGATCTCACATGACAAACAAGTCTGGATATTAATAATAATAATAATAAATAGACGGTATACTGTTGCGGCTGCTACTGCTTATAGCTACCATGTACTAGTAGCCGTTAAAATATGAAAACACTGAAAAGTTAAAATATTAAATTATTACTTAGACCCCTCGTCCCGGCCAATAGGAAACGACTTCCATTCCTGCAGGCCCCGCCCATTTCCACGCCCCTCTTATTATACCACATTCCGTTCTACCAGCGAATTACGCAACAGACTTCACATTTAGATCAAAGTTATTCCACACGTGCTATCACGATTTTTTTTTATTTCGTGCATCTTTTGCACGAATGCACGAGGCGCTGATTTATGAAAACATTTATTATAAAGAAGCAAAACGCTGCAATCTAACAGCACTGACATATCTTGTACTCGTAAATCACGCGCTTTTCAGCGGGTGCATAAAAAACGCGATACCTGTCGTATTTAAGAGTTGTGATAGCAATTTAGATGCAGTTTCTCACCTTTTGCACGTCTTGATCCGTCAAAACATCCATGCTGATGAAGACAGTCTGAGAAGAAGTCTACGAGGAAGGCTGTCCCATCCAAATCTCTCTCTCTCTAAGCAACCACGTGGTTGCCCCATGTCAAATACGATTAAACTGTAACCATGATGATGCAATAATTGGATTTTGAACAGTAACTCTTTCATTGCATTGCAAGCAACTCAAATGTAGTCATCAGGTGAACCTAAAAGGTAAACATGTGCCTCCAATAAACTTCATTCCAGATACAGAGTGAACACAGGTCACCCTCTGTTCCTGCAGAGGATGGACATCTGTTTGTCTGGCAGAGTATTACATGCAAGATTGCATGTAATGAACACAGTATTGAAGAAGACTTCACAAAACACATTCAAGCTCTGAAAAATGTATCTAAATTCACTTTTATAAAGTTGGTCAAAATGTATCATCTACGTGAATGGTCTAATCATTAATACTGTGCTTGACATCTTAGTTTTTCTAGGATTCACACCCCAAATGAATAGTATGGCAGATTTAGTTATTTTCAGTGCTTTATAAAACATATTAATGAACTAATACGGTGTGTGCAAACTCTATTTCTGAATCGATCTCTGTTTTAATCATTAAAAAAAGGCATGAGAAAGAAGTGTTTTCGGCTGGTATCTGAAGGGATTGTTCACCCAAAAACAATACTTCTGTCATTATTTACTCACACTCACCTCTATGACCTTTGTTCTTCTGTGAAACACAAAATATACATACAAAGAAGTTGGCTTTTTGCATTTTCTTAAAGGACATTAAATTATACATAAACCTTTTGGAACAAACTAAAAACAAAAATGCACTGAAAACGTAATGATTTAAAAGCGCTTAAATTTATGCGACTTTTTTTCTGGCAACAATTGTTGTTAATTATGTGAATATGTAATACCTCTTATTCTTGTGACATTGAATAGATAATAATAATAATAATAATAATAAAAATCAATTGTATGAAGAAAAAAAGCAACTTTTATTTCTATAAATTAAGTAGCACTTTTATGGTGCATTTTGTCTCTTTACCCGCAAGGAAAAATTATATTTTTTAAAAATATATATATTTTCAAAAATATAACAAATGGCAAAAAGGGGCGTCTGTGTCACACAGAGAGTCAACATGAAGCATTTGCATACACTCTTAAAAATAAAGGTGCTTCAAAAGGTTCTTCAAGCGATGCCATAGAAGAACCATTTTTGGTTCCACAAAGAACCATTCAGTCAAAGGTTCTTTAAAGAACCATCTCTTTCTTACCTTTTTATAATCTGAAGAACCTTCTTTCGCCACAAAGAACCTTTTGTAAAACAGAAAGGTTCTTCAGATGTTAAAGGTTCTTTATGGAACCATTTAGACAAAAAGGTTCTTCTATGGCATCGTGAAGCACCTTTATTTTTAAGAGTGTGGAAGGGACGCTTCTGCTTGTTCTCAGAGCCTTTACCGCTGAGGATATGGAGGAAGCAAAAGCTAGTAGAGATGATGATCCAGCAGTTTGGGTGTTTGCATTAAGTAACAAACAAGTCTAATCTCAAATGAGCTGGACAACTTTAGAGAGCCAAACAGTTCCGGCCCCTTATATTTGACGAATACTAAACCATTCACTTAATCTTGCACACCTTTAAACATGACAAAAGTGAACAGAATTCCAGTTAACGGGACAGTGGTTCTCCATTAACACCTTCTTGTCACTATAAATTTATGATGGCTGTGCAACATTCAGACTTGCTGACTTTCATGTATACAGTGTTTGAAGAAGTTTCAAGTGCATACTAACTTAAGAGTTTGTGGTTTGGTTTAACTGGCTGCCTTCTGCTTGGAAGTGACCATTACTTCACTGACAGAGAGAACTAGAGAGAGTGAATGGAAGCTTTTACTCACGGAAAACAGAAAGGCCGTGTTCACTGACACAAGGTGTGTGTGTGTGTGTGGGGTACTTAAGAACTTATGTGTCAATGTCTACGGGTCTTTTTCAGAAAACAATGCCACATGTGGCTATGACTTCATATTGATTATAATTGAATATAATGATTTTGAACTTGGTCACATTAATTGATCAATCTGATAGTGTTTAGTGCATAATGCAATATGAATTTGATGACTAAAGCTACTTTAAAATGTTCGTTTTTCATCAGAATCAGGCAATTTGCATATATCCAATCACCATTATATTTAAAGGAATGGTTCACCTGAAAATGAATATTTGCTGAAAATGTGCTCACCCTCAGGCCATCCAAGATTAGGATGAGTTTGTTTCTTCATCAGTTTTGGAGAAATGTATCACATCAGTTGCTCGGCAATGGATGCTCTCCAATGAATGGGTGCCGTCAGAGTGAGAGTCCAAACTGCTGATAAAAACATCACAATAATCCACACCACTCCAGTCCATCAGCTAATGTCTTTATTGAGTCCATAATCCATAATATTGATTTTAATAGAGAAATCTGCACAGACCAAGCACTGTTTACAAGCCAAAATAGTCCAAAACAGCTCTAAACAAATATGTGGGTGGATTGCGATGTAAGAGGAAACAATATTATGGATTATGGACTTGTATTTTAGACAAAAAGCAACAGATTAAAGTATTTTTCAGTCCACATGATTTAGACAAAAGTTTCTCCTTTTCGGTTTTATATTGTTTACTTTTATATTGGCATCATCTAGCCCAATAATTTCTGAATTAACCTGTGTTATGCAAAACCAATTGTAGCAAATGCTTAAAAATAAAACATATAAAGTGTTCAGGCACCAACGGCACAGTTTCCAGAGAATAACCCATGTGTGTGACGTAAGAAGCATATGAAAACACTTTTGAATGGTTATCAGAAGTCTTTACTTGGTTTTGTTTAAAGCCATATTGCATACATTAGGCAAACTTCTGAACAAAAAGAAAAGTTCAAAAAAATCATAAAATAAAATCATATGAACACATACATATAAAAAAAAGATACTTTAACGCATAGGATTGTTTTTCTTGCAAACATACAAACAGTTTGCATGAGTCCGTGCTTTTTGTTCTTTCTCATTTTTTTTGTGTAAAATTATAAAACTTATAAACGTAAAATGTACACTTTATCTTTCAGATGAGCTCCAGCATACAGCTCAGAGTGAGTTAAGGCCATGATAGTGTGGGAACGTTGCTACGACAACAGTCATTATGACGTCATCATTCCCTTTGAGAAGTCGACCAATGGGGTGCAACGTGCAGGTCACCTGATCCAAATGCAACTCAGTCCAAAATGGCAAAAGTTTGTTCGTTTGAGTGTTAGAGTTTGTAGTTTCTATATCTTTGTGTAAAGTCTGTTGAGTGTAAGATTTCAGCAAGACGTTTATGGCGTCATATTCATAGTCTTTAAAAGCATATATAAGAAGTAGATTTTGTATATGACCTTTTTGGCATTTATTTCTGTGGGTATTGGCTCTAAAATGTCATTTTACATATTCTCTAACTCAGCTGGCACATTCATAAACAGTCGACTCTTCCCTGATTGGACGCAGTCGCTGAGTAAATAATGCACAAACCACATATTGCTTGTTATATCTTTTCATTCCCATAATGCCACTGCTTTATCAGAGGCACTGGCATCCACATGTTCATCATGTAGTCGTCGTTTATATGCATGCCCCTCCGTGCCTGTAGAGGGCAGTACATGAATGTCTTGACCTTGCAAAAACCGTTTGAGTGAGTGTATGATTCTAAGCACAGATGGCACTGTACGGTCCACAACTTCCCTTCATACGGACAAGAAACATTATTGCCCAAATAAAAATAATTAAATTATATATAAAAAAAATAATAATTTAGGCACTGGCATCCACATGTTCATCATGTAGTCGTCGTTTATATGCATGCCCCTCCGTGCCTGTAGAGGGCAGTACATGCATGTCTTGACCTTGCAAAAACCGTTTGAGTGAGTGTATGATTCTAAGCACAGATGGCACTGTACGGTCCACAACTTCCCTTCATACGGACAAGAAACATTATTGCCCAAATAAAAATAATTAAATTATATATAAAAAAAATAATAATTGAAAGCAGAACGACCACTTAGTAAAAATTTAATGAACATTTACTCACAAGTCAGCCTATCCACGATGTAGATGAGTTTGTTTCTTCATCAGATTTGGAGAAATGTAGCATTGCATCACTTGCTCAGCAATGAATGCTCTGCAGTGAATGGGTGCCGTCAGAATGAGAGTCCAAACAGCTGATAAAAACATCACAATATAGTATTAAGCTAACTGATGGACTGGAGTGTTGTGGATTACTGTGATGTTTTTATCAGCTGTTTGGAGTCTCATTCTGACGGCACCCATTCACTGCAGAGGAAGTGATGGAATGCTACATTTCTCCAAATCTGTTGAGATGAATAAACAAACTCATCAACATCTTCGATGGCCTGAGGGTGAGTACATTTTCAGCAAATGTTCATTTTTGGGTGAACTGTGCCTTTAAGAGTTCCTCTGTCTCGCTCAGGCTTGTTCTTTATCGGTTCTCCACAGCTGCTCCTTGACCTCCGGCGGCAGGGTGTTGAAGAGATCCTCTTCTACGATCAGCCCGGAGCGCTTGAGAAGGCGACATTCAGAGAGCTCCACCGGTAATCCCTCCAGCCGGTTCCCGCGGAGCTCCAGCTGCATGAGGCCGGTTAACTCTCCGAAACGTGACGGCAGCACCGTAAGGCAGTTATTTCCCAGATTCAGCGTCCGCAGCTTCTTACACTGGAACAACTCGGGTGGCAGCGTCTCGATCTGAAACAGAGAAAAACATGGTTAACACACAAGCTCTGCCATATGATTCTCTTTAATTAGGGTGTAAAGTGTAATCTAATGACAGAAAATAAAAAACAAACACTTTATTGTACATAACATTTATTAAAACCACAAAATAAATACATAAATAAATAAAATATTCCTCTTATGTATAATGCACAGGTCTCTGTGTTTCTGAAGAACAATATTTTTCTGCAATAAAAGGTTATTACATGCATTACATATTATCTTGTCAAAACAGAAAAATTTAGTTTATAAAAATTGTAAATGTAGTGTGTAAAATGTAATCTATAGACAGAAAGTAAGATAAACACTATACGTGCGTTTATGAAAATGTAGTTAAAATTAAAATATGTATTTTATAAAAACTGCAATTGCAACTTAAAATGTGGTTCGTTGTATTTGTTTGTAACGGTGCTATTTTAGCATAATTTGAGTTTTTATTTTTTTAAGTTTTTTTCAGATTTGGTTATTTTTCAGTTATTTATTTTTAGCTGAAATAAAATAAGTTTAAGTTTTTATTTTATGGATTTTATTTCAGCTTTAGTTTCAGTTAACTATAATAACCCTGATTTATATCAATGTCAATAAGGCTATATAATAATAATAATAATTATTAATTTAATTAATTATTAGTAGCAGTATTAACTAAAAATATTAACTTAATTAAATAAAAATATTTAACATTTAATTAAATTGTAGTCTTTGCTATTTGATAAATCATACTTAGTCATATTGCAATTTTGTTTTTATTTCAGTAGCTAATAAACTATTTTCAGTTATTTTTGTTAACGGAGTAAATATAAGTATGAGTAAAATAAGTCTTCATTTGATTTCAATTCATTCAGTCATTCAATCTGTGTTTTGTGCAGTATGTAATGGATAATGTACCGTCAGAGATCAGTCGGGTGATCAGGTGTCTTGCTCAGGGTTTATTTTGCGATAACGACCAGCTGATTGGTAAGAAACCCAAAACCAGCACAGCCACGCAGGCAATCGTTTGTGTAGCAAAACGGTCAGTTATCCAGTTTAACCACCATAATGCTACAATATTTGACCGCAGAATGCCACGACTGACCAATCAGAATCAAGTATTCCAGAGAGCTGTGTAATATAATCCATCCATAATAAACGATGGGCCCCATTTAAAGCCACTTGCTCGGCAGGGTGGAGACCCAGGAAACATATTATACACAGGAAAACCAATTATCTCCAGAGTAAGTGGCTAATTTTGGCCCACACACACACACACGCGCTCCAAAAAAAGCAAACATGTGCATCTAGTTATGGTCCGTCTTGACTCTCAACAAATAACACAAATAACACAAATTACACAACTAATTTAGATAATAACGAGCTAATGAAGGATCCGGGAAGGTTGTGTGTACAAATGCACACACTCCTCGACAGGAGGTCCCATAAACCCGCTATTTTCAGAAACATGCCACACACACTCTCCAACACGCACATTACTAAAAACAACCACAAGTGCATGGCAAACTCAAAACACATGAGAGACAGGTTGTGTGTGGTGCATCATAATGTTCAGCACTTTTATCGGTTTCCTTATCTGACACGCATCCAAAGAATTCAGATTGAACAAAACAATGGTGCCGTCTGATGCCGCTTACGCCCCAGAGAAAGCTCTGATGGCTGTCTGCTGGATTGGTATGCGTCAGACGCAGTTGGAGGGTGTGGAAACACTGGAGCTGCTGAGAAATCAGGCTTTAATGCAGCAAACAGAATTTCCGAAAGCACAACTGGAGCCACCTTTCTGACACATTGTCACTGGCACTGTGAGTCTGCAGTGGAGTGTAGAGGATTCTCATCCTGAAACACCAGCGACATACTATTTTATATTACAAATCTCAAAAATATTTGCTATGATTGCCATAATTGTAATTTAATTAGCATTAACTGGCATTACATGGCTGTGTTGCAATGATTGTAGAAAGGATGCGTTACCTGCAACAGTAAGCCAAAACAATGACTAAATGGCTATTTTGCTAATGAGCGATGTTAATCAATATGTCTGTGCAGCTTAAGTGACGCCAGCCGAAAAGTTAATTCAGATGTGAGCAAGTCAGTACATAATAAAAGATTATGAACACATTTTCTTCTTTGGTGTAACATGCACTGAGGAATCATTCACAATAAGACCAGGAACATGTACTGAAGTGTTAAAATTTAAAGCATCAGAAAAAATTATTATTATTATTATACATATTAATTTATATATATATATATATATGTATATATGTGTAACGGTTAATGTTACAAAAAATATATATTTTAAATAAATGCTGTACTTCAGCTTTGCCATCACTGTAATAAACAATATTATAATAATAAATAAAATAGCAATTATTTGTAATATAATTTTTTTTACATTACTGTTTCCTTATTGTCACTTTTGAGCAATTTAATGTGTACTCTTGCTGAATAAAATTATAAATGTTTTATTATTATTATTTTTAGATCCAAACTTTTGTATGGTAGTGTGTGTATATATATATACAGTGGGTACGGAAAGTATTCAGACCCCCTTAAATTTTTCACTCTTTGGTGTATACACTACCATTCAAAAGTTTGGAGTCTGTAAGATTTAAAAATAATAATAGTATAAAAATAATAATAGTACATCTGCAGCTTTCCAGGAAAAGATTCAAAACTCAAATACCAGCGTCTGATGAGATCTCACAGGAACATGAGGTGACGTGTACGTTCAAGTCTGCACACTTATGCTCTCACTCACTCTGTTGGCTGTCACTGCAAAGTACTGCAGGTTCTGCAGGAAGCCGATGTCTGCAGGGATGCTGGTCAGGTTGTTGTGGCTGAGGTCCAGGTAACGCAGCTTCCTGCAGAAGAAGAGCTGGGCAGGAATCTTCTCGATCTTGTTCCTGTTCAGGTAGAGGCGCTCCAGGTTGGTGAGGGTGCCAATCTGGATGGGGATGTAGGCGATCTGGTTATACCAGAGCTTGAGGCACACCAGTCTGTGGAGATGCTGGAAGCTGATGATCTCCTCGATGGTCTTCAAGTTGTTGTCCTTTAGATCGATCTCCTGCAGACAGAAGTTGATGTGCATGACAGAATAAGTGAACAGAGCCCAAGCGGCTTGTACAAGCATGAAAATACCTGTGGCCAAAGCATTAAGAAATGTACAATATTTATACAACGCAGCAAGTTAAAGACACTCAACAATCTGCTTTTACATTGCAAATAATTACACAACCTTGAATCATTTTAAAAAAATGACAAAAAAGACCTAACCTAACCTAGCATAGCATAACATATATACCTAATTTGATGATGCAGAGTTCAAAAATTCTAATAATTATGGAAAATGCATTACGGCACAAGCAAAGGTATTATACGCAGAGTTTTGTGCAGCTAGATGAAGGATGACTGAGATGACCTGTAGATTGTGCAGGCTGAATATGGAGTGCGGGATCCGCTCTAGATCACAGCGCAGCAGCTCCAGCTCCGTCAGGTTCACCATCTTCTTCAGACTGTTCAGAACCATCAGTTTGGTGCCTTCGTTATTGATGGAGAGCTTCTGCAAGTGAACGCCAACATCCGTCACCACCTGCAGGGGGAAAAAGACGTACTGGAATCATTATTTGGTCCTAAAGGAGTTGTAAAACACAATTCTGTGGGCATATATTCAGTTGTTAGATTCAGATTAAACACAGCACCAGAGGTAAGAACATTAGGATGGTATTAGAATTTCCACATCACTTTTTTTAATGTAGTAAACTGGATATAAACACATTTTTTGTAACACTTTGTTCAGAATATTTAAAAATTACCTACAACAATAGCATAACTACAGAAGTAGGGATGCATGATATATCGGCCACCATATCGGTATCGGCCGATAAATGCTAATTTTTTCTGTTATCGGTATCGGCCTCAATATACAAAAATACTGTATATATATAATATTATATCAATTAAATTATGATGTTAATTTTTTTATTTATATAAATATTTTAATGCATACAAATAATTATATAGACAGATAGATCTTTTATCAAAACCTTTTACCAAAAGGTAAAAGGAAAGTTTTCTAAAAAATATTTAAATATTATATTACTGACATTTATATTAACAATATATTTATTATTTCCATTTAAATTATATATATATATATATTTATGTGTTCATATTAAATTTTGTTACAAAATTTCAATAAAAGATAATAATAATGGGCACTAATAAACCATGCACAACAAGACAAGGAACATGTATTAAAACAGCAAATAAGGTAAATTTTGACTTTAATTAGCATGGTATTACCATCATAAAATACACACAGTAAGAACGACATGACAAGGTGCCTTTCTGAATGCGTTGATGAATTTCTGTGAGTAACTTCATCTCACCTGAGGCAGTTTAGTGAGGTTGCTCTTCAGCCGCAGGACCTTGAGCCTCTTGAGCTCCCGCAGGCCGTCGATGACGATGAATCGGTTGTTATCTGCGCTGAGGTTTCCGGTCAGATGAAGCTCGCTGAGGTTCTTGAGGCTGTAGATCCATAGTGGGATCTCCTTAATGTCTGTGAACTTTATGTGTAGTGATTTGAGGTTCTCGCGGAGGAAGGCCAGAGCAGGAGCCTCGATTTTGGCCGGTGTGTGGTAAAGCCACATCTCCCTCAGGTTACACAGCTGTGCGATTATGGGCGGGATCGTAACATCAGGGATCAGCTCCAATTTCAGCACCTGCAGGAAACACAAAGAATACATTTACTTGCAGTTAAAGCAACCAATGGTGTGCGACTGGAGTGGGACTCTCTTTTTTCTACCAATAGCATAGAGGATATTATTCCAGAAACCTCATTATTTTTGCAATTCCGTGACATTAGTGGCACAGAAATTACACACTTTGCCTTTAAGAACTATATTAATAATATATAATTATATATACAGTCATGGCCAAAAATATCGGCACCCTTGGTAAATATGATCAAAGAAATTAATCTGCATTGTTAATCCTTTTGATCTTTTATTAAAAAAATTCACAAAAATCTAACCTTTCATTGGATAATAAGAATTTAAAATGGGGGGAAATATCATTATAAAATAAATGTTTTTCTCTAATACACATTGGCCACAATTAACGGCACCCTTTTATTCAATACTTTTTGAAACCTCCATTTGCCAGTTTAACAGCTCTAAATGTTCTCCTCATTTTAAATTCTTATTATCCAATGAAAGGTTAGGTTTTTGTGATTTTTTTTAATAAAAGATCAAAAGGATTAACAATGCAGATTAATTTTCACAGCCTTCTTTGATCATATTTACCAAGGGTGCCGATATTTTTGGCCATGACCGTATACTAGTAGCAGTATGCTTTGGCAATATTGTATTTTATATAGGGCTGTCAAAAAAATTTGAATTTCGAATATTCGTCGAATTTAAAATAAAAGTCCACATACGAATGCAAAAATGTTGCACTTGAATCTTAGGTGTGCGTTAAGGAGGCAGCCTTATCAGCGGCCCACGAGATGCGAAGACGATGTAAGTGTCGTTGCATTTGAATGTTTTTGTTAGTCTATCCAGTTGAAGCCAATAGATGCGGTGCTGCTGCGTTGTTAATTACAAATATTGCGTGAAAAGAGAACATCAATGCGGAGAAGATCTTGTTTACGTCAAAACTGAAACCAAGCCGTTCATACAGAACGCATATTTCACGCATTTTCCATCTCTCACCGTTGCACTCGCGTCTCGCACAAAAGAGCCGCATGTTTAGAAAGCCATGTAAAATTAATGCAAGTTCAACTTTGAAAAAACATCTCTCGAGACTTTATGGTGGGTTTTTCCCCCATCCCACTGCAACTCGTGTTTTTAAATGAAAAATATACTCCGTGTTATTGGCTTTCCGCACTTTGTATTAAACGATGCATACATACATGATGCTGTTTTGTTTATAGTTGTTTAAGCAACTTAATTTTAATTGGTTTATAAACATTATGCACTTTTTTTTCACAGATAGTCATGTTATCTTATGCTTTGAATAAACGTGCATTAGTAATATTTTGCTTGATGCGCCCTCTTGTGGCCTCAGGAGAGAAGCCAAAAGCTTTTCTTCACCCTAACTGAAATTATGCATTTTCAATTCAAATTTAATTCGAATTTTGATCATATTTAAGTACAAAATTCTAATTTAGTTTTTCAGCCATTTTGACAGCCCTACAGTCATGCCAATAAAGAAGTTCTGAATTTGAATTATAATATTACATAATATAATTGTATTATATCATATTAATTTTAATTATAGAATTTTCTTTTTTGACCAATTGCATTGAGGAAATTATTCCAGAAACATAATTATTTTTGCGATTCTGTTTGGTTACGTTAGTGGCACAGAAATGTCACTTTGCCTTTAAGAATTACAAATCTGAAAGAAAAAAAGCAAGCTATGCATGAGGAAACAGCTCTAACTTCCTTCTAAGCAGCTGTGAAAAATAAAACATGATCTTTCAGAGGCCTCCTAACACCCGCAAGCGGTTACTTAAGGGGAAGCGTTTTCAGACTCGTGTGTAAGGCTGCATGATTTGGGGTTTTATTTAAAATTGTGATTTACTGCTCCAGATTGTAGAGCTGCACAATTTGGTCAACATTTTGTGCTTATATCAATATGACCATAAAACAACAATAACAATACTCGTTATCATCATTGTTATTTTAAATTAGTTTTATTTTAGTTCTAATTTAAATTAAATTTTATTTCAATAAATTATTTGTAGGGCTGCATAATTTGGTCAAACATTTTGTAATATACATCATAAAAAAACTATTTTATTTATTAGTATATGAAGTAAGTATAAAAGTATACATTATAAATATTTGTATTAAATATATATGTAATAATATTTTTGGCATCGCCTGATATGGAGTATAAAAGTATAAATTATAAATATATTTATTAAATATATATTGGTATTTACGTAAGGATGTAAGGCAGTACTTTTCAGCACTGGCTAAAATAACTATATTTTACTTATTACTAGTAAATGAATTAAGAATAACATTATAAATGATAAATATGTTTATTAAATATTAATATTTGAATATTTATGAAACAATATTTATCAATATTTCAGTATTGGATGAAACAGTCAATTGCACATAGTTATTATTATTTTATTGATTGTCTATTCTCTTTATTATTAGTGTTATATTTCATTTGATTATATGCATGTCTGTACTTTTTCTTTGCACTGGAAGCTCCTGTCACCAAAACACACTTGGCAATAAAGCCCTTTCTGATGCAGAAAAAATAGGTATATTTTATTTATTAGTATTTGAAGTATATATTCACAAATTGTATATACATTCATATTTAAGCATATTTAATCACAATGCAAATCTGTGATTGCACTCTACACTAATGCTGCCTTTGAATTTTGCCAAAAGAAGGTATTTTGGAGGAATGAACTTAAAAATAGTGTGCCTATGATGCCTTGAAACGCTCACCACAGAGGCACCTCATTAGGATTTTAGAACACAGTGCTGTTCGCTAGACGTCTTGCTTGTGACTTGAGACCAGCTCTTAAATAAATCATATGAACACACCTTCTCAAACAGCGCCTTGGCCTGCTCTCCTTCCTTCTTTTCCAAGACGCCCGTCTCCGAACGGTCCACGATGCCCTGCTCGATGCGGGACTTGGTCCTCTGCAGCATGGGAACGCTTGCTTCCACATCCTGGTCGCTGACACTGGAGGTTTTCTTATCCATCGAGCCGTTCATCTTCCCCGCCGGCTTCGGATCGCTCTCCTCCACCACCGTCTCAGAAAGCGCCCGCGTCGTCCACGGCGAGTCGAAACACTTCAGCAGGATCGACACGAAATGCTCCAGCTTCGAACTGGTCCGCGGAAACTTAAACCAGAAGTTACTACACGCTAGAAAGATCAGCGTGTGCAGCAGCACCAGATACGGGAAGTACTTTGCGAACCAGTGCAGCTTGTTCTCGTAACACACGGCGTCCACGTAGTTGTACTGGTGTCTGTCGAGGTCGTACTGGATGCCCTTTGGCTCGGCGTTGAGCGGCACGCTGACGTTGAGTTGTTCGCAGGTCTGGTTGACGACCCATTTGCACGGCAGGCAAATCATTTTGTCCTGCGTGACCTGCAGCGTGCCACCGAACACCGCGATCATCAGCATGACGATGGAGATGTAGTCTGTGAACACGTCCCACCATGGTTTCAGGATACGATACGCCGGCTGTGTATCAGCGAAGTATCGCAACTCAGTGATGGGAATCATGACAGTTTACCTGAGAAACAAAGAACGTGAGTGAAAAATGACAAACCGGTAGTGACAATCAAATAATAACTCATCAAATGTGACCCTGGACCACAAAACCAGTCATAAGGGTAAATTTTTTTTTAAATTGAGATATAAGCTTTCCATTGATGTATGGTTTGTCAGGATAGGACAATATTTGGAGAGATACAACTATTTGAAAATCTGGAATCTGAGGGTGCAAAGAAATCTAAATATTGAGAAAATCGCCTTTAAAGTTGTCCAAATGAAGTTCTTAGCAATGTATATTACTAATCAGAAATTAAGTTTTAATACATTTACAGTAGGAAATTTACAAAATATCTTCATGGAACATGATCTTTACTTAATATCCTAATGATTTTTGGCATAAAAGAAAAATCTATAATTTTGACCCATACAATGTATTGTTGGCTATTGCTACAAATATCCCCCAGCGACTTAAGACTGCTTTTGTGCTCCAGGGTCACAATGTCCACGTCATTTCTACCTAATGAAATAAATGAAATCAAATGAAATAAAAAATAAATTTTTAGCATAAGGTAATTTCCAAGCCTTTCATATCATTCTCAACCTTTTACAAATGGTAATTTCTATCTAGAAAAATTAATTAATTAATTAAAAAACCAAAACATTTTGCATAAGCGGGGTCATTTCTATGTCATTTCACATCATTCTCAACATTTTGTAAAAGGTCTACCAAAAATAAAATAACAAAAATTTAGCATGATGTAATTTCTAAGCCTTCATATGATTCTCAATCTTTTGCGAAAGGTAATTTAATTTCTACCTAAAAGTAAAGTTTAAGTAAATAAATAATATATATATATATATATATTGCATATGGTCATTTAATTCTAAGTGTTGAAAGTATGATTCTCAAGGTAATTTCTAAAATAAAATAAATAAATAGAAATATTTTTTGAGCCTTTAATATCATTCTCAATCTTTTGCAATTAATAAATAATAATAAATTAATAAATAATAAATTATATAAATTATTAATAATATAAATAACTAATAAAATAATTAATTTCTAAGCCTTTAATATTTTTATTTCCTAGCCTTTTATATCATTCTCAAGCTTTTGCAAAAGGTTATTTTTACAAACAAGGAAACAAGGTCATTTCTTGTTCAAAAGGTAATTTCTACCTGTGAATAAAATAAATAATAAAACAATCAAAATATTTTGCAGAAAGACAATGAAACCATTTTTGCATTGTGAGTGTGACATAATTTTCATGACTATTAAGCACATTCAACTTCCTGAAAGACAAACATTTTTTCCCCTTGGAATAACATTCACTGTTAAATTGTTCTCAGAAAGACCAGCAATGTTAAAACAGTAAACGGAAGAAACAGACATCTGCTGAAATCTTCCTAAACTGTGTGAGAAAATACATGACCTTTAACCCTGTTCTGTTCTGTCTGCCGCCCCTTTCACTTCACTTTATGGAGTCTCCTGTCTTTCTCTTACAGTAGCTTGAGTCAGAGCTCAGATGATGGACACAGGAAGTGGCTGGAATGAGTCGGCAAAACATCCTCAGCTGTACGTGTTTGTGAGAGTACAGTTACAGAGGACAAAAATACTCCATTAAAATCACACACACGTCCCACAAAATTTTAGCAGGCATTTTCAAGGTATGATGCATGTATACACATCAAGCAGAGCTCTTGACTTTATAAATGCCGTTTATGCCCAGAGGTTTCTGTCTGGGGACTGATTTTTTGGAGCCACAACATCATTAGGGTTGCCAGATTGGGGCTCAGAATTAACAACAGCTGCCGTGTCTGCTATAAGCCAAACAAGAAATGCATCCCAAATCATAGTTGCATCCCAAATCATAGTTCTGATGGATCCGTTCATGTTTTGAACATTATTTCTTAAAAAAAGCAGAGCATGGTGCTAACGGCACCAAGTTTATGGGGTTTGATTTTGTTAAGAGAATGTATGTAATGATTTAAAAGGAAATATGTAAGTTGAATAAGTGTCTGCCACATGTGTAAATGCACATGCATTTTCAGCTAATATTGCCCAATTCCTTCCTGTTTTCAAAAGTTTTTTTTAAAAAATATTTTTGAAAGAGGTCTCTTCTGCTCACCAAGGCTGCATTTATTTGATAAATATTGTTAAAAATATGAAATATTATTACTATTTAAAGTAACTGATTTCTATTTGAATATATATTAAACTGTAATTTATTTCTGTGATCAAAGCTGAATTTTCAGCATCAATACTCCAGTCTTCAGTGTCACATGATCTTCAGAAATAATTCTAATATGCTGATTTGCTGCTCAAGAAACATTTCTAATTTTTATCAATGTTGAAAACAGTTGAGCTGCTTATTATTTTTCGTGGCAGCTGTGATGTTTTTTTTTTAAGGATTTTTTTGATGAATAGAAATGCTCAAAAGAACATTTATTAGATTTTTTTGAACATTATAAATGTCTTTACTGTAACTTTTGATCAATTTAACGCATTCATGCTGAATAAAGGTATCCATTTCTTTAAAATAAAATACACAATTCCAGTGTAAACGCATGTGAATTAAGAAACAACCCCATGACTATATGACTATGCAACCTTTCTGGACGATTCATTAACAGAATGAAAGCTAAAAATAAATCATTTTCCAAAATGTCAAAGCACCATGAAAGAAGTCCTCTGAAAAAGCTTTGTGGGAGGAACAGACCAAAATGTAAGCTGTAACTGCCTTGAGTTAAAATATTCCTTTAAATCATGGAAATTCTATACAAGAGAGGAATGAGTAGCGGACACAAGCATTAGGAGACCAATAGAAATGGGAGGTGAGAGGGAGAGAAGGGACACAACACGAGTGAAAAGATGAAGAAAGAAAGAGATATGAGGCGTCCAGACAGATAATTCATCATTTCCTACCCTCAATCAATCATTCCGGGATTTAGACGACCACAGAAACCTAACAACCGTCAGTGTAGACCGTAGTCTGGAATCAGTGACTCGAGAACCGCTCCAGCTAACATCTATACTTAGACTCAGAAAGGCTGGGAATTTTCCATTTGGGATTTAGGAGCTGGAGTGAAAATGCAGAAAAGGCCCCCGCAATTGTTTATTGAGAGACCTTGTAAAAATTCCACGTTGAGCTGAAATGACTCCCAAGTTAGTAGAGCACCTCTGTTTCCAAACATCCTCAGCTGGAGTATACAGCACGGCCAAAGAGTAGATGCTTTAAAAGATGTTGTTTTGCTAATTTAGGTAAACTAGTTCAGATAAAGCCATCTGGCTGTATTAACTGATATATATAGATATATATATACACATTTGTATCCGAAACAGCCCCTGTGCCTATGTGGGGCCCCTTTACGGGCTTATGAGCCAATTAAAACCTGGTTAGAAGAGTGCAGTTATTTTACTAAAAGAGCAAAAACTTCTCATAAACTCAAGTCATTTCTAGAAGCTAGAATATCACAGACACTTGAAAGTGGACGCTTTTGACTTGGGCTTTTAGTAACAGTGTTATTTATACACTTGCATATAATTTCTTCATATTTTTAATTACTTTTTATATTTTAAATTTAAATTTTAGTTTGTTTAGCAATTGTGTTACATGCTTTTTCATTTTTTATAATATTTATGTTTAAATGGATAAGCTTATAAGGTATAGGTTTCCATTTCAATTTTATTTCAGTTTAGTAATTTTGTTTTTGCTTTTGTCATTTGAATTTTTTCACATTTGTTATAGTGGATGTTTTGAAGTTAAAACAATATGCTTTCATATTAATTTTAGTTTTAGTAATTTTTTTTACATGATTTTGTCTTTTTATTATTTTAAATATTTCAGTTTTGATGAATACATTTAAATTTTTGTTTAAGTTCTTTTGTTACATGCTTTTGTAATTTTTATTTATTTATTTATTTTTAATTCATTTTGCATTATTGACACTATTTTCCTAATTAATGCTGTTCAGTTGCTTTGTCACAATCTGTATTGTTAAAAGCGCTATATAAATAAAGGTGACTTGACTTGACTTAATTGTTTTGTTTCGATATGTTTATAAGTTTTCATTTTAATTTTATTTTAGGTTTAGTAATTTTGTTGCATTCTTTTTTATTTAAATTTTTAATTTATGATTTAAATATTTTTGTTTAGCTTTTTTTCCAGTTTTAGAAGTTTTAGTACGTCAACCTAAACTTCAGTTAGTTGTCATGGTAACATTTCAAAGTTTTTCATCTAGTCGGAAAAAGATTGGTGGTTTCAGCTTTACTTCTATTAACATTTCTATTACCAGTTTTTATTAGTTTTAGTTAACAATAACAACACTTGCAACCACATAGCAACCAAAAACCACTCAGAAAACGCCATAGAAAATAACCATGACACCTCTTTACATTAACACCTTATCTCCGAAACACACACTCTCTATGCTAAATATTCACACAAAGATAAAAACTGTCCACATTTACTGACTCTTTTGGTGTTCAAATTACCATATTATTATCTTGATTCCTCATGTCTTTCCATATAAAGAAAGCAAAAGCTGTCAAAAATTGCTTACACTGCATGAAAAAAAATAGCTTGTGCATGAATTTGGCGCTTGACAATGGATCACGAGCATCTTAGACATTCTGCTAAACATCTCCTTTTGTGCTTCAATAAAGAAGTCATATGGAGTCATAAGAGAAAGTAAATGACAGAACTTTGAAAAACGCACACTAAAGATGTCCCTTGAGTTCACGGGTCTCAGTTGAGAGTCTATTAACAATTAACAAACACCAACCTTCGTACACACAGACACAAACACTTCACATATACACACAAACTGCCTCCTTCGCAAAGCTGGAAGGATTTCAAAAGCATCTTCTAAACAGACAATTTACTCATGTCCTTCAGAAAGTGTAAACAAGATGCTGTGTGTGTGTGTGTGTTGAGGATCAGCTTCTTTCCTTTAGGAGCGATTGGAGACGTGTTGTTTTAACACAAGGCCCGTTGAGAGTGTTAGTCTCCGTCCGGC